TAAATACATCTGCTGGTCTACATGTGCTGTTATTGGGAATGCACTTCTAATTGGGCAAATACATTATACCTGAATAGTATAATTTTTAGCTCCGCTGTCGACTTTTTAATTCTTGTTGAAAACAGCAAGTCCCGTTGCTTTGATACTATACATATTGTTCATTTTCTAATGATATCTTCTGTTCTTTAATTGAAATGTGCATTGCTAACAGCGGAGCTATCTCAGCCGTCAGGCTGCTTGTTGTACATGCTAAGACAATTTATTTTTAGCTCTGCTGTCGACTTTGTCGAGTGCAGCTTATCATTATGAGTGATTGTCTGTCGTCGTCCGTGTCAATGTTTTACTTTTTCGACTTCTTCTTGAAAACTACAAGCTTGAATGCTTTGATACTTGGTGTATATGTAACTTGGGTGGACCTCTCTTAGATTTGTTCATTTCATTATGATATCTTCAATTCTCTAATTTTGGTGATTATTTTTGTCATTTTCTCTGATTGCTTTTATATTACATATATAAGTACTACATGTGGACCTCTTTCAGATTTGTTAATTTCGTGGTGATATATTCAATTATCTAATTTGATGATTATTTTTGGTGAAAAGTGATATTTTTGAGTTCTTGTTGAAAACAGCAAGTCCTGTTGCATTGATACTAAACATATTGTTCATTTTCTAATGATATCTTCAGTTCTTTAATTGCAATGTGCAATGCTAACAGCGGAGCTATCTCAGCCGACAGGCTGCTTGTTAAATACAGACTTAGGTGCCCTCTCAATTCTAATTTTTAATGTTGCTTTTCTATATCTTCAGAGCTGTTTTCAAGCTTCATTTGATTAATATTTGCACTGTTTCTGTGTTCTCTTTAGGAAAGACGTATGTTTGGTCCATTGGGTTGGAATATTCCGTATGAATTTAACCAAGCTGATTTAACAGCCAGTATTCAGTTTATTCAAAACCATCTTGATGACATTGATCCCAAGAAGGTAACTATTATTTACTGAGATACATTTTGTATTTGTTATTTCTCTATGCAGCTGTAAAATATGCCTATTATAAAAAACTAGATTGTAAACCTGTGCAAACTGAATACTGATAGGACTCATACTTTTTTAGTCCCCGTTCGGACGTAGTCCGAAAACGGGGACTTGTGTTTTGCCCTGTGTGCGTCCGTGCATCCGTGTGTCCGTGATCACCTGTATCTCGAACATGCATGGACCGATTAAGTTCAAACTTCACTCATACATCACACATTATATGGGACATATGCACATGCATTTTTTTCATGATCCGATTAACGATAGCCGAATAGCGGCCATTTTAAGGCCGAAAATGCATCAAAATCGCATTTTTTCACTATTCCGGACCCGGATCTCAGTTATGCATGGACGGATTTTGTTTAAATTTGGTACATACATTAAACATAATAGGACCTTGATGCACGTAATTTTTTTTTTTTTTTGGATCGAGTTTGAAGTGGCCGACTGGCGGCCATTTTGTTTTAAAGAATTCAGTTCTGGATCCGTATCTGAGACATGCCTGGATTGATCGAGTTCAAACTTCACACACACAAGGTACATCATGTCACAAATATGTATGTGCATTTGTTTCATGATCTCATTAACGATAGCCAAATGGCGGCCGCTTTAAGGCTGAAAATGCATTGAAATCGCACATTTTCACCATTCCTGACCTGGATCTCAGTTATGCATGGATGGATTTTGTTCAAATTTGGTACATACATTAAACATAATAGGACCTTGATGCACGTCATTTTTTTTTTTTCCGGATCAAGTTCGAAATGGCCGACTGGCGGCCATTTTGTTTTAAAGAATTCAGTTCTGGATCCGTATCCGAGACATGTCTGGATTGGTCAAGTTCAAACTTCACACACACATGGTACATCATGTCACAAATAGATATGTGTATTTGTTTCATGATCCGCTTAACAATAGCTGAATGATGGCCATTTTAAGGCCGAAAATGCATCAAAATCACATATTTTCACAATTCCGGACCCGGATCTCAGTCATGCATGGATGGATTTTGTTCAGGATTTAGTACAATGTGTTGTACATATACAGGTGCATTTCGGTCATGATCTGCTTTGAATGTATATGTCACTCATATATGAACGGAACGGGGACGTGTCATTGACAATGACTTGTTTTACTAAGGTTGTATTTTTACTGTGGTTTTCAGAACTGTCGGACAGTCATTTGATCACAGTCGGTTCCTTTGCTCAGCGTGAATAAAATAATTCACAGGTAAAAATGATTGACGTACACAATGATTTAAAACAAGAACATTTTCTGGAATATTATCATTCACTCAACGACTTTGTCACGAGTACGATCTACGCTTATACCTACGCTATTTTACCATGTCATCTATGAAGAGAAAACGTACACCACTAACCATCGAGCAGAAGAAGGAGATTCTACAACGACTTGATAAAGGAGCGAAATCAGCAAAACTGGCACAAGAATACAACATCGAACGAGCAACTGTTTCGGCCAATGATCGATAAAAAGAATGTCTATGAAACTAGCAAGAGATGAACAACTCGATCAAGCTGTGTTTTTGTGGTTTTCATAACAGCGTGAGAAGGGAATTCCGATCTCTGGTCCTATGCTACAAGAAGAGGCTGCAAGTTTGCACAAGCGAATCCATGCAGATGCAACGCTACGCCCATCAGATCACACTGTATCAAGTGAGTGGTTGCAACGATACAAAGATCGGCATGGCATTAGACAACTTAGTGTCCAGGGTGAAACGATGTCCGTAGATTACTGTGTTGTCAAAGAATATCGTCAGAAACTGCAGGTCATAATACAAGAAGGAAATTATGAACTCGAACAATTGTACAACGCCGATGAGAGTTGTTTGTTTTGGCGTGCTTTGCCAGACAAAACATTAGCAGCACACGAAGAAAAACAAACAAAGTTCAAAAGGTCACAATTTTTCCATGCGTCAATGCTACCGGGACTCACAAATTGCCACTTGTTTGCATCAGGCGTTATGCTAATCCACGCTGTTTTAAAAAACTCTGACAAGAATTCATTTCCAGTGCAATATAAATCACAAAATAAGGCTTGGATGACTTATGATTTATTTTCATCATGGTTTCTGAACGAATTTGTACCGGCGGTGGGATCACACTTAGCCAGGATGGGACTCCCACAGCGCGCGCTACTGCTAGTTGACAACGCCGGTTCACACAGTTTGAAGGGCAGCCAATTAGAATCACCAAATGGTAACATCAAGTGTTCTTTTTTACCGCCAAATACAACTTCAAAGCTATAACCGCTAGATCAAAAAATCATGGCAATTATGAAAAAATGATACCGTCGAAACATGCTACATGCCGTCATCAATGAAGACAATGAAGACAAGAATTTGAAAGAAATCGTTAAAACATTTACGGTTAAGAACGCATTGTTTATGATCGCCGATTCATGGAATCAGATCAAACCATCAACCGTGGCGGGGTGTTGGTACAATGGACTTCATGTCGGCGACCATGGTAATGAGCAATGCGTGAGTACCAACGAAAGTGAGGAGATAACCGCTAAAATCAACAAGGCCTGTGTTGATTTAGCATTAGGAGTCATTGTCGAGAACGAACTTGATGCATGAATCAACTGTGACAACGATATTGGGTCAGAGACTTTCACTGAGGACGAGATTATAAAGATTGTAGCCGAAAATCAAAAAGACGACATTGTAAGTGACAACAGCGAAAAAGAAAATATGCCGCCCAACGCACCAACACCAGCAGTTCCAGTGACTGACGCAATCGACGGAATGCAACTTTTCATTGACTGGTATGAAGGTCAAGAGGTCATCGATGCAGTGAAACTTATGCAGTTACGACAAATGCTTTTGTTTGCAAAATCAAAAAAACAACAGAAAGTGAAACAACAGCACCTGGATCATTTCTTTGGGTAACATTTACGAACATTTTGCACGGAATGAAACTGAAACAATCTTGACAAAAGTTGACTCTCACTTTTCCATGTGGACACGCATTATTTATTTATTTATTTATTTATTTATTTATTTATTTATTTATTTATTTATTTATTTATTTATTTATTTTACTAACGTAATAATTAACAAAAATGTTTGATAACAACGATTTTTTATTAACATTTACAATGTAGAATTGTAATACACGTTTATTAATTAAATGTAATCACGCATGACGCTGGGTAGCTAATTTGCATGCATAATGAGGAGTTTATTTCAAAGTGCGATCGCGGCCATTTTTCTTCAGATGGCGGTTAGCGCGTTTTCAGTGGGGAAGAAAAAACACGATTTCTCCTGAATGGTGAGTAAGATTGTCAATTTTTTACATCCTGTTCGTCTTTCAAGTTTTAACTACATCTCTAAATAGAAATATGTGGTGTTTTGTGGTGAAATTCCGAATAACAAATGAAAATGCGTTTCCGTAACGGCACTAAACCGACGTTTTAAAATAATGCGTCATTTGAGTTAACATGATTTTTGAAACCCCAACGTTCAACATTTATATAGTTAAGATCATAATTGTAATTTTTATTACAATTTTATTTGGGAACAGCCCGTATTAAATGTTGAA